AGGGCGACAGGATTTTTTCTAAATAACAACTCTGAAATCTCTTGGGCTTTTCCGAATTTTTGGCAAACTCACGGCCTTGAAATGAATTCCACGAAGCTAATTTGGAAGCTTACTGGTGGATTATTTTATCTTGAAAGTAATGGCACTTTCCTGCGCTGCGCATTTATATAACTCTTGTATGCCAGTCTTCAAATATTTCGATACATTTTTTGATTGTGAGGGGGTAAAGATTGATTTATTAGCTGTAAACAGAAGACACAGTATTTAGTACACTTTACAAAAGCTCACTATTTAGAAAGATTTGTAGTCACTTCTATACATATCTCCCAAACTTTTTACTTTTTAGCATGATGTAATCATTGGTGAGCCTTTTTACCTATCTGCCATGACCCCTTGGCAAAATCTTCGCTTTTGGTACGACGTTCAATCCTTGCGAAAATCTCTAGGCAGTAATCTCAAAGTGTATCCGCAGGTAACTTTGCAGTACTAAATGACTTGAAGCTCAGAACTATATTCTTTCAGAAAGCCATTCTATATGGTTTGTGTGAGAGGTTTGACCATCTTCAAAATACTGCTGCTCCAGTTGGAATAGTCAACGGTTTCGATCTCTCTTTGTTTGATGATTTGTCTCAAGTAAGCCATTTTATTCTTTTATAAAACTTTTTTCAATAATTATCAACTACAGAAAGCTCGGACGGCAACGACTCCACTAGTGGACAATCACCCGTTATGGGAGTACAATGGCGTGGCGACAAGTGAAAAGTTCGAAGTGCTGCGATTTGATCTGAATCAAGATCCACATGATGTCCATGCGAGCCTGGAAGTCTCACTACCGTAAGCCTTTCTTCGCTAATCTGACTTTAGGAAAGAGGAAAAAATTGTTGGAAATGCTAAAGAGTGATGATATACAACCCAGTCAAAGTTTGTGGGAAAAAGCAGATTTCGAGTTGGCCGAAATTTGCGGCGCATCGTCATCCACGTATTGGACGAATTCTGACAAGGTCCAATAATCGCCTCAGCTCGA